TCATTTTTTATACATATTACCAAAGTTTCTTCCCGTCACCAAAGATGCCACATTTCTTTCCAAGGGACCCAATGAAATTTTTATTAGATAAACGATTCTAACGTTGTTGATAAATCGATTTACGTATATGAATGTAATGCCGATTAAGGGGCTTTGGATAAAGGTAGTGCCTTCTGTCTGGCACGCCGCACCTTCGGGTGGACAGGAATCATAGGTCGTCAGTCATCTCTTAAATCTTTCACGTGATGGCTCCAAAGTTGTCCATGCCCCGGTAAATCGTTTCAGCAGGCGGGCTAAATTCGCGTGAGGTTGTGGTGGTGGGTGTCGTAACACGGCCACCAAATGGGCGAAGGACCTCCTCAACGCAGGTCACCGGCCAGGGCGGTAGGGTTCCTTAGATGGGTAAACGTCGAAGGTTTTCTTCTCAAATAAACTACAACTACCTAGTTGGAGGACATCGGCTGTAGTCTAATCTGGAGAGGGATGGGATCCGCCAGGCTAAAATTGCCAAAGATACGCCACATGATGGAAACCATTCGCAGAGACCCAGGTTCAGATGGAGGCGAATGGTAAGCAGCTCAGCACGTCTGAGGCCCCATTGACTCCTTCCGAAAGAAGAAGAAGAAGAAGAAGAAGAAGAAGAAGACTTCTACTACTACTACAACTACTATAATAGGCAGGATGTGTGTCTGTGTGTGTGTGTGTTTAACGAATGCACGGCCTCGGTTGTCGAAGGATTTGCACCAAAATTTACATGCACATGCTCCAAGTTAGCGGGAAAGGCCAACACCGACTTTGCATTTCCCAACTCCCATCGATAGTGGAAATAATCGATTTTTTCATGCTTCTAGGGCAGTTTTCATGTAGTTTGCGGCCATTTTCTACTGGCCAGAGTGAGAGCCTATAGAAGGCTGCCACGAATAGGCAGAAAGATTCTACTGGCCAGCGTAAGAGCCAACCGCTGACTGACACGAATGTTAACTAGCATGCTAGCATGTAAAAAATTGATAGCTGTATTCGTCACAAGTGGGAAAATTTGTTATCTGCATGACACTTTACTTCAATTGGCTCATTCGCTTGCTTAAACTCAACGTTGATTCTGATTCCGCAGAACTGGGTTGGGTGGGAAAATGTATTTGTTGTTAACATTCTTTTTTCATTCGGTTTTTCCAGTTACGAGTCCTTTTTTAAAGCTGATCGTTTTGTGTTCATTTTGTTTAGTTCTTTTTTCATAACAGATTTAATGTTTAGTATAGAGCTTAGAAAAAATTGGCAGTGTGAGATAGGCAAGAAGTAAGGCATGTAGCAACATCAGCACGGCAAAGGGCACTCCTTTAAAGGCAAGGAAGGGCAAAAATATTTTAAGTCAAGTGATAGCGATTGCTGTATGAGTCGTACGATTTTTGAATCAATCCCGGTAGTAATAATAATAATAATAATAATAATATCAACGATTAAAATAATTAGTCATGAGGGATTTTCTTCTTTTATATGTCGTGTTCCTTCAGGGTATCATTGATCTACACTATTTCTTGTCCGTTTTAGCTCTTATCAAATTTTGCCGTTTTTTTTTATCTCTCCTGAACTTTGTTCCACCATCGCGTAGTAGGTTATGCGTCTTTCCCTATTTTTTACCTTAGAAATTTCACCTGTCTCTCTCTGGTATTAATTAAATGCATCCTTACGTTATAAGAAGCCTAACCTGTTAGAAAGAGTACGCAAATAATCATTGGTGTATTTGCGCTTATAAATATAGATTTAATAGAGAAGAATATTAAATGAAGTGAAATATTTAAGATATATAAAAAAAGGGACAAATACGGAGCTTGTCGGTGATATTGAGTAAGATTTGATGACACTAGAACTCGCGTCGCTTTGTCATCGGACAGCTTCTTTTGACATGACAGCTTCTCTACCGTTTGCTCAATAAAAAAAAAAAACAATGGCCGCAAAAGATCAAATCTAATTATGACGGTTCAAAGGCAACTGAATTTAAGATGAAAGAGTGAAAAGTAAATTAGTAAAAAGTTAATTATATTTTTTGCGTTTTCATATCGTTACGCGTTAACGAGCAAGCGACCTCCATTTCACGCAGGTTCCACACAGATACGCCATGATGCATTTTTCAAAGGTCGAATTTTCGCCAAGATTGCTAGGGTAAAGTTGTTTATGCTTTGCATAACGCCACAACGGACACTTGCATCTCTTTTAAAAGCAAGGGCAAAGGGTAAAGACAACCAAAATGTACTTTCTTTAAAAAAAAATATCGTACAGAATTTTAAAATAGCACAAGGCATGTATGTCTATATTTCTAAGATGAGGTATTGTAATTATTTACATTATTTACATTGTTCTAACTATTGTCCGCATCTTTATTGTCATATTCACGACGTCTCGACCGTTGTACACGCCGACCTTCTTCAGGTGATAAACGTTAGAATTTCGAACTGAACCCTTTATTTCATCCTCCGGGATAGAGTGTTCTAGTTCCACGTGCCATACCTATCTCAGTTTTGGGCACCTCAACATGGGGTAATTGTTAGAAAGCTTGTCTTGTTAGATCACTTATGACTGAATAGTGAGTTCGATCGTCACTGGGTGCTCCATACTTTCGGCGTTGTGCCACATCTAAGCTGGGCTTTGAAAATCATTATCTTAGTTTTGGTTATCTCCCTTTAGTAACACTTTTTTTGTGGGTTTTTTTTTTCCGAGGATACAAGATAGCAGTTCGAATGTCGTTGGTGGCCATTTCGATTCATGCTAAAGTTCTCGTAATGTCGAAGGTTTTCTTCTCAAATAAACTACAACTACCTAGTTGGAAGACATCGGCTGTAGTCTAATCTGGAAAGGGATGGGATCCGCCAGGCTAAAATTGCCCAAGATACGTTGCGATGTATTACTTGTCACTTGCATGCCACGATTATTCACAACTGGGTACGGGAATAATTGGATACATCAAATTCCAATGATTATCATGCAGAGAAGCATTGGAAAGTAAGCGTATAAAAAATATATATATATATATATATATATATAAGCGTATAAAATAAATATTTTTCTCCTTTGGCGAAGTCTTATGATCCCCGAAGTTAAGCAACGTCGAGCATGGTCAGCAACTAGATGGGTAACCGCTGGGAAATATCAAGTGCTGTAATCTTGGATGTGCGGGTGCTGTAATGGATGTTCGGAATTGTTAATCTGAGAGCGGAATCCGAATTCCGGTTGGGTTCGTTATATTCACTTATGAGCAAATGCCATTGGGAAAGGAATGAGTCAACCTCGTCCCCCAGCTATGGATTAATTAGTAAGATTTGTATCACTAAACTATTATTATCTCCCACCCCCATTCCCCGCCAAAAACTTACAATTCTAGCTTTAAAGATTATGGCAAAGGATTGATATGCCATTAAAAAAAAATCAATGACATAATACCGGATAAAAACATCCCTTTGAAAATTTCCTTATAGCTATATATATATATATATATATATATATATATATGCGCCGTACTTAGTGGAAAATGTTCAACATCTGTGATAGAACTAACATTTTCAGCTGTATGGATATTAGTTTGTAACACTGTTTTGATCATCAGACACATATATATATATATATATATATATAGATATATATATATATATATATATATATATATATATATATATGCATACAAGTTCAGTTCTATGCTAATTGTGTCTTTTCTTGAACTACTCGCTTGTGGAACATTGTTCCGGCTTCTTGCTTTCCAGCCAACTTTGATCTTTCAAAATTTAAATCGTTATCTCCTATATTCTTAATTCCTTTTTCTTTTATTATTTTCTCTCCTATTCTTTCAAATACAGTAGCCTCTTGGGTCTTAGTGGCTTTATTGCCTTGCTTGAGGTCAAACGATTAATATCTATCTATCTATCTATATATATATATATATATATATATATATAATAATAAAGAAGTTAAATGTCAGAGTTGAATTAGACCAGGAAACAGTAGTATAAAATGGCTCATTATACATATAAAAAAAAAAATTTATATATATATATATATATATATATATATATATATATATATATAAATAAATAAAAGAAAGAACAGTAAGATGTATAATCCGGTGTTCTTATAGATATTTTTATTTTTACAAAATAGTACTCAATGTAAAATTACAGAGCATTAATATTATAAATTAATTGATTTAAAATATGGTTTTCTCCGCTACACAGTTCTAACCATGTTTCAAAAATGGAAGCTAAAAGCTTTGAATTTAATTTTGTAATTAAATTAAAGACATTAGTTCCATTTCATCCTCAAGCGAATTTTTGGAGTAACTTTTAAAATTACTGGGTTTTAAAGACACAGCTAAAATCACGTCTCCATGGTTACAGATAAATCTACTTCAACTGGACAAGGGGTGTCTGGGTTTTCCTTATGTCTGTATCATTGTATCTGTTATTAGCTATATATATATATATATATATATATATATATATATATATATATATATATATATATATATATATATATATAAATTATATATATATATATATATATATATATATATATATATATATATATATATATATATATATATATAT